CTCTTATCAAGCGCACTTCGACTGGATCGCAACTCACTATGGTCCTCGCCAACACCGATTGCTCTGTTCACACTTGCTGGCGCCAGCTGGCGCCAGCTGCGGGACCCACTCCCGCCGCTGGGAGGCCTGGTGGATAGCGACGTTAAGGAACTGGTGCAGCAAAAAGAACCAAAATGAAGGATATTTATCCCAAGTGCTCAGCCTTCTTTCCTCCCGAATGGGGGAAACCGATCAAGGTCACCCTCACAGAGTGGAGGCGACACAGGGCTGCACGCCTTTCGAGCATACACTGTGTACAAAGCTTACCCAGCTGAGCATGTTCATACAAAGAAAATAGTATACAAAGAACGCCGCATTCATTCTGCACTGTGTGAAGCTCCCTCAGTATGACAGACAACCAAGATGGGCTTGCAGCCCTGGAGATGCCTTGGACCTCTCCGGGTGTACGTCACCCTCACAGGCGGCGGCATCGAACTGTAACCAGCCAAACACGAACGCGTTCCCCTCCGCAACTCTTGCCCCCAGATGCAAGTCAACGTCAGCATCCACTGGTGGGTTCAGGCAGGGGTCCACATGATGGGGCGGCAAGAACATGGAAACATGAAAGAACTGTTGGTGCGAAGGATTGCTTCTGGTGAGCTACTCATCATTTCTTCTGTATTTTCCTTCCTTAAGAGTAAAATAAATTACAAACTCTCCCGCTAAGAAGAAACTAATTCCTTGAGTCTGACTGAGGAGTTCTCAGTTCCCCTAGTAAGTCACCATGCGTTACCTCCCTCGGACAGCCCTGTAGACTATCTTAAACTGGAGAGCTGAGCGGAGAAGTAACAACCGAAGAATAAAAGTGTGAAACTGGCGCAGAGGATGGAGTGCTGACCTCGCCGAAGAGAGAAAAGAGGCGCATTCCCGTTTATAAAGAAATTTTTAAAGCATGCTTTGAGCAGAATCACCAGATGAACCAACAAAAGGGAGAGGGAAACGCACTAGGCGTTCAGCATTTTGCTGCAGGCAACGGTAGTATGTATACGCGGTATGATGCCCACGGTTGTGGCTTCAACATGCATAGGTCTACCCCTTTCTCACTTCGCGCATAGACACACAAACTAGAAAAGACTTAGGCCTGTTCTCTCCCCTTTGGGGAGACTTGGATTCCTTATATTTTGTTTGGCCTCGCTTATACCCTGGAGGAGGATGGCACTAAAGGCCGTCTTGCATGCAGTACGCAGATGCTGCTTCAGGAAGCAGAAAACCTCTTAAGCCTCAGGGGATGATAGCTGAAGCGGGGTGAGTCTATACACGCTCACTAGGTGAGATGGTGGTGTGTTTCATCCCTTGCTGAGCTCCAT